CACTCCGTGAAATTTAGTCTCGGAGAAGATGTGTTTTCTCTTTGGAACAGTACCTAAAATAATATGTGCGCACCTGACTGGTTTTGGCTGTGCGCACTTTACTGTAAAAGTAATTTATTTTCTGCGCTGGGGAATCTTCCACGCATCCCAGCAGAAATAGTGATACCAATTGCCTGACTGCTTTTGTTCGGTAGGTGGTTGGGATTTGCCCATCATCGTTTCTGATCGAGACAACCGCCGGCGATTTCGTTTTATGACGGGCGCGATGTGTTATCATACTATCATTGATATGATTGTTACAGATCTCATGACTACTGTATTGGCAGTGTGTCCCATGGCTGCAAATGGGTTTATGCCAGTTTTGTGAACAGATTCTTCAGTAAAGTAGCTTTGTGAACAGACCTTCAGTTAGCTAACTGGAATATCTGGTAGTTGCAACCGAAGGAACCGAAGTGGTACATACGCGTTGGTTACGATGAATAATCTCCGCTGCCTGTATGCCTATAACGGCCGCTTTCAATAATACTTTTTCAAAGGCAACTCGGAGATTGGCATATAATTGAAAAGTCGATAAGGTTTAACTCAAATGAACAAGTGGATCAACATTCACTGTATGTATGGCGATCGTAATAATTTTCATGTATTTCAAACTTTATGCATTGATTTTAGAATGTGCCATCGACTCTATCTATGACATCACCGTTTCGTATCCAGACACAGTCGTGCAAACCGAATATGACTACTTCACAGGCCATTCGCCGCGACAAGTTTGTTACCACATCAAGAAACTCGATATCGCTGCCGTCCCAACTGACCTAGAAGCAGCCGCTTTGTGGCTGAGACAGGTCTGGTCAGAAAAAGAGGAGGCACTGTCACGGTTTTACAAAGATCTCGACCAAAACGCAGCTCGGTCATACGATGGTCGTATGATCGCACCTTCGTCGCCGAAATTGACCCCTTTATACACTGCCAGTTTGTTTTGGTTATTTTTCCTTCTTCTGTGGATGTATTTGTTGTTGGTGTCTGTTTTATTTCGTATTTACATCTTTCTTGGAGCGTTGTGGTTCTTTTTCGTCGAAAAATATTTTGGTGGATGGGACATGTTGCAGATACACCTTCTCTGTGGTGGCAGTCATAAAGCTGCGAAACAGGACCAAAAGTTTCGGCAGCTCCAACATTGACATGATTCATAAATAAGTTAATTCACAACTGCACCGCATCACGGTATTTTGCTCTCTGCTTTTATTTTTTCTTTACCTGGTTTGATGAATTATATTGTTTTCGTCTAATTTGTAAAGCTGCTTCTGCCAGGCTTTGTATTTCTTGACAGCCAAAAATTTATGATCGCGTTGTCTATATACTTGTTGTTTGGTTTTGTTTCTTGTTGTGCGTTTGAATGTTTTATCGTACACACGTGGCTTTATGTGTGTTATTCTTTTGTTTGGATGAAACGTTATATGTAAGACAGATGTTTTACTTACCGTAAATTTGTTTTGCTGTTGCCTATGCCTGCAGTTAACTGCGAGTACGTGAATTAATGCGACTGTACCTATGGTGTGTGACGACGAAAATAAAATAATGAACTGAATAAGATGCATGTTGAGCATCTAGTTCATACAATGGTGTCCAAACCGATAGCAGCATAAATCGATTTATTAATACACAACAAAAACAATTTGACAGGTGTTTGACACGTACCGATATTTCGATTCGCGTCTAACGGGTCCTCATAACGGTGGAGTGGTGACTGATTTTCAGAAGTCGTTCGCAAGCTTTCAGATAACAAACTTAAGAACGATCAACAGTACTTCCTCAGCAAATCAGGCTGGAGGGATATGGACTGAAATGTCGGAGCTAATCTATCATCCGATTGACAGATGTGTTGTGTATAAATAAATCGTGCCATTTCTGTTTTTACTTTCTTACTTGCTTAATGAGAGATGAAAATTATTTAAGTCCTGTACACGTTATGGAAAGCAAAACTCGTGCATATTTTGTGATCGAAAGTTAATTTGTTACTCCTTTGCTATTTAGAGAAGGCTCTGGATAAACCTCATCAAAAACTTTGAAGGGTTCAACATATTGAAAAATCATAGAGTGATAGCAACAGCTGACCTGCTGACGAAGTATACGGCGGAGAAAGACAATACTGCTGCGCAATAATCGGCAACTACATAACGCGGATATTGTCTGATTGGTAGCAATTTACTAATCGACCGGTCAGGCATCCCACAAGCAAATTTCGTTAGCGAAATCATTTTGACCAGCGAGGATTAGAAATTTTATTCGACACATCCCGTTATCTGAC